TCGGCTGTGGCTACATATGAATTTTAGGAGTGGAGGCCCCACCATCATCCCTTGAAAGCAGAGTAGAGGGCCTGGGCTTATCCAGCCCCCAAGAGCTTACCAGCAAAAGAAAGCTCCCTTTAGCTCAGCACTGTAAGGCTCTGTGGAAAGGTCCCGAGTTTAAAGGGACCTACAGTGTACTACAGCTAGGCAGCTGCAGCATTGCGGAGGGTGTGGACTCTGCCTGCTTGCCTCCATGAGGGGCCCTCCTTCCTCCCCAAACAGTGTCTCTGAAGCAACCCGTCCTCCTAATGTTTCCTGCCCCCACCCCCGTGATTCTGCATCTTCTCTCAAACTGGGGACCTAAATTTCTCTCTCCTAAATCTCCCCTATGCCTACTGGTGTGTGCTGTTAGCTCCAGTAGCCTGTCTGATACAAATCCCTCCTCCAAAAAGCCTAGCTCCACCACCCATGGACCCTTCCTACCCCTGCCTGGGAATAGGCAAGGCCACAGCCCAGGTGGGCCTGGCTGTGGTGGCAGAAAGCACATCTGCTCTCTCTCCTCATGGTCTCTGTCCTCTCCTCCCAGGGAATCTCCTGGACACTGCAGTTTAAAGCTTCATCCCCAGCAAGTTCTTCCTCACATTCTGTCTAGCGGTATAGTATGTTTGTTTGTTGCTGACATTTACCATAGAATTGACTCGTGTAGTAAAGCAGTGTTTGGGTGGATCTGCTATTTTCTTCGGGGTAGTGTCTCACCTGTTGGGGGACCAATGGCATCAACAACATCATCCTGTGTCATACAAGAAACACCTACCTTGGGGCTAGAGAGATGGCTCAGAGGGTAAAGCACTTGCTGTGCTGTTGGGGGACCCTGCTGCTAGGATTGTAGTCCTCCATGTTCAGATAGCTCTAAGGGGCTCGGCGGCCCTATATGGAAGGACTCCCTTTTTCAGCGGGGGGCCTCCTGCTCTCTGCCTGACTTACCTGGAAAGTGCCTCCAAGCACAGATGCCTGACCTTATTTGGAACATGACCTTTGGCATAGTTACCTGGAGTAAAAACTACCCCCAGGTTTTTTCTATATGATAATTAGGCATTGCCCCATAGTCAGATGATAGGATCCCACTACCACATGTAAATAAAGCATACTATGAGCACCTATCAGCTGAAGCACTATATTTTCCCTAACCCCCACTGAATAAATGGAGCTGTTTCACTGAATTTGCCTCCCCGGAAGGGCTTTCTTCATCAGTGCTCACTGGCCGCCCTGACCCCGTTCGTAGCTTCTGCTCCCTTTGTCCTTGTGGACTGGTGGCCAACGACCCATGAGGGGAGGGAGAGACCCCACACTGTGCAAGTGTGAGGACTCATGTAAAAGCCTGGTGGGCTTGGTGGCCTGCCTGTAATCCCAGTAAAGAGGCTGAGATGGGATTCCCTGAACAAGCTGGATACCTAGACTAGCCAAATCAGTGAGCTCTGGGTTCAACTGAGAAACCCTGCCTCAATATATAAGGTAGAGGGCAATTGAGGAAGATACCTGATGCCAACCTTGGATTTTCCCATGTACATGCACACATGTATACCACACACATACACATGGAAAGAAAAAATGAAAGAAGGAAGGAAGGAGTGAAGGAGGGAGGGAGAGAGGGAGGGAAGGAAGGAGAGAAAGATGGGCAGTGGATGGGTTGCTAACTGACCTCCAAAGCAGAATGCCATCAGACACTAACAAACCAATGAGAATTCCAACAGGTTAGATGTCCCTCCAGGGAGGCTGTGACCCAAAGCCCAGCAAGGAACAGGAGCAGAGTGGACAGGAAATGAAAGAAGGGAATCTAGGCTGAGGGGACACTCTGAGCAAAAGCTTAGAGACAGATAGGTGCCTTTTGTGTGGGAGGTGGCTGAGCAGCCCAGTGTGGCTGGAATATGGAATGCCACATAATGTCTGGGGTCAGGGAGAAAGAAGTGGGTGGAGGGAGGGAGGGAGAGAGGGAGTCTCCACCACACGTGAGCCTGGAAGGGTAAAGGAGAACTGATGAACTCAGCCCAGTACCTGCATTCCTGGGGACTGGCCACCCTGTCTAAAACTGCAGCCTCCCTTATCCCACCATGCCTTTGACTTCTGTTATTTTATTTTATTACTTTATTTATTATATTATTGTATGTGTGTTTATGTGTGCATGCACATGTATGCATGCTGTGATGCACATGTGGAAGTCAGAGGACAACTTGCAGGAGTCAGCTGTCTCTTTCCACAATGTGGGTCCTGGAGATGGGACTCAGATTGTCAAACTTGGCATCAAGTGCCTGTACCTGCTGAGCCGTCCCATGGCCCCTGCCTTTGCCTTCTTGCTGGACAGTGACCGTCTCTTACATCCTGCACATTTCACCTATCACGCCCCAACACTCTCCACCACATGCACACTTGAGGTCCATCCTGCTGCCCCAGCCTGCAGGGCGGGAGATGGAGACTCGAACTCCCAGGACCTGGAATGATGGGACAAGAGACACGAAGAATGACAGCACGACAAAGAACTCTGATCAAGCTGCCACGGGGATTCTTATACGGGCTGAAGTGGGAAGTTAGCTGGGGAAGGGGAAGGGAAGGTGTTGTCTCAACGGGTTAATGAATGTCCCTTAGGATGAGGGGACCTGGTGCCCTGAGTCTGGTTGCAGGCTAAGGAAATTGGTGGTTGCTCAGGCTTATCTTGAGTCATGGGAAAGGTTGCTTATCTTAGGGGGCAGGGAGGACTGATCAGCAAGTTCTCCAGAGGCTGCTTGCCCTGGGGGGCAGGGAGGGCTGCCAGGCAGCGTGGTCTCCCACATCCTGCCAGGCAGGGACTTGTGTCCATTTGTTTTCTGCTGCATTCCTTAGCACCTGGCACGGTGTCTGGCTAAGAACAGAGCAGATGAATCCTCATAGGATGAATGAGTGGTTTTATTTTCAGATTTATTTATTTGGGGGCTGGAGTATGAGTATTTTGCCTGAATGTATATAAGTGCACCATGTGTTTGCAATGCCCACAGAGACCAGAAGAGGATGTTGAATCTCCTGGAACTGCAGTTACACAGACGGTTGTGAGCCATCATTTGGGTGCTGGGAACCAAACTGGGGTCCTTTGCAAGAACAGCCAGTGCTCTTAATCCCTGAGCCATCTCTCTAGCCCTGAATGTTTTTTATGTTCCTGTCTGGACCCAGGGAGAAGCCACTTTGAGCGAGATGTGCTTCCCCTTGCAGGAGTGTCTCAGTCAACAGAAGAACTTTTGTGATTTTATTTATTTTATTACATTTATTTTGTGTGTGTGTATGTATATGGTGTGTGTGTACTGCAACACACATGTGGAGGTCAGAGAGCAACCTGTGGGAGTCATTCCCTCCCTCTACCATGTGGATCCTAGGGAACAAACTCAGGTCATCAGACTTGCCTACTGTATATGAGGCCTGGGGTTCAATGCCTAGAACCTCCAAAAAACAAAAGCAAAACAAACATAAACTCTGTAATGACACTGCCCAGTTTAGTCCTATGCTAGCATTTTATTTTGTCTCTTTTGAGACAGGGTCTTATGTACCCCAAGTTGGCCTCAAACTCAATATGTAACCAAGGATGGTCTTGAACTTCTGATCCTCTGGCCTACACCTCTTGAGTGCTAGGATTACAGGCACAAGCCACCACACCTGCTTCTAAGTGCTAGGGATCAAATCTTGGACTTCCTGCATGCTAGGTGAGCACTTGGCCTAGTTACATCCCCAGTCCACCCATATTAGCATTTTGGATGGTTTCCAAAACCACAAAATTGGAATTATACTAAATCTACCATTTTGAGATGTGCTGTTTGAAATCAGAATTATACTAAATCTACCATTTTGAGATGTGCTGTTTGCTGTGGGCATTATGTGTTCTTAGAAAACTATTAACCCGCTGGGCATGGTGGTGCACGCCTTTGATCCCAGCACTTGGGAGGCAGAGGCAGGCGGATCTTTGTGAGTTCCAGGACAGCTGGGGCTACAGGGAGTCCCTGTTTCAAAAAGAACAAAAAAAAAAAGAAAAAGAAAGAAAGGAAGGAAGGAAGGAAGGAAGGAAGGAAGGAAGGAAGGAAAACTATTAACCCAGCCAGGTGTGGTGGCGTACCCCTTTAGTCCCAGCACTCATGAGGCAGAGGCAGTGTGTATTGGTGTGGTGGGCACACTGGAGGAATCTGAAGAGGTCAGCTGGAGGAATCTGAGGAGAGGTCAGCTGGGTGAAGATGGACCCAAGCAGGCTAAGAATGAGCCAGGCCTGCAGGAGTTCCAGCAGAGAGGGGTGGGGACCTATAACAATACAGTGTTACTGAAGTTTAAAGTTCAAGGCCAGGGGCAAGGAGTGGCAGAAAATAAGGCCTAAGCCCAGGCAGGTGATAGGTGGCCTCAGTTGGGCTGAGGACTGAGACTTTGCCCCCAGCCAGCAGGGAGGCAGAAAGAGTGACCAACCAGATGAACCCCTAGATACCCCAGACCTTTGGTGTATCCTTTGGTGACTCCTTTCATTGACCTTTCATTCTCCAGCCCATCTGGCTATCCTCTTTCCCTTCTAGTAGAACTGATTCTTAGATCTGAAAACCAGCCTCAGTCAGAGGCAATTCAAATCCCAGCCTCAGAACTTTCTAGAATGGTGGGAGCCCTCAGTGGGACAGTGGAAAGAGGAATGCAGAGGACTCTGAATGGGTCTCCCACCATTACTTCATTCCTGCCAACATTTCACTTGCCTCTGTAAGTGCAGTCATGAGAACCAAGTTATTATTAATACAGTTAACATACAGACCTACCCATGTGCTGCACTTAGGCTTCACAAAGCACTTTTCAAGAACATTTCCTTGTTTTAACAATTTCACGAATGAGTAGGGCAGACGTTTTCCCCCCAGGCAAACTGAGTCAGAGAGGTAGTAGGACTGCTAAACGTTGCCCAGGTTGCAGATAGCAGCCCCACTATGTGTGGCCCTGGAGTTGCCCCTACAGTTGCCTCCTTCCCCTCCAGTAGGTAGACGATCCCGAATAGAAAGGCAGCCTCTAGCCACGTCGCCGGGCTCTACTGCAACCCCTGGCCTCAGCCCGGTGTGGGAGGCCCACCCCAACGTGGGCACTGGGCGCCCCTACTACTACAACCCCAGCACGGGTGTGACCACCTGGGAGTCGCCCTTCGAGTCAGCTGAGGGTGCCACCAGCCCGGCCACTTCCCGGGCCTCTGTGGGCTGCGGGGGGAGCCTGGATACAGAGTGGGGCCAGTACTGGGATGAGGAGAGCCGCAGGGTCTTCTTCTACAACCCGCTGATGGGCGAGACAGCTTGGGAGGACGAGTCGGAGGAGCCAGAGCACCAGGACGAGCTGGAGATGCAACCCAGCCTGAGCCCAGCAGCCCCAGGCAGAGGGTGAGGGCCTGGACCACTTCTGAGCATCTCTGACCCAGCTTCCTGTACAGGGACCAGAGAGCGAGGGGCGGGGAAATGTGGGCAGGGACACCTCTGAGCGTCTCTCACCCCTCTTCCCCCTTCTTGCTTCTTAGGGACCAGAGAGTAGAGGCAGGGCCAGGTGAGCAGAGCTGCTTGTGGGGGCCTCTACCTCCCTTTCCTGTCCTTGGCCCCAAAGGAACAGAGTCATAGGTGGGTCTGATGCTAAGTTGGGAAGGCAGGGGCAGTACTGGTACTGAGAACCTCTGTCTCCATCTTCTGGTCCCCACAGCCCCCAGCTCCTGAAACAGACTACCCTGAACTGCTGACCAGTTACCCAAAAGAGGACTGTTCCCCTGTGGGCTCCTTCAATGATCCTGACCCCACCTCTCCCTTGGAGACACCCCCTGGCTGGTCCTGTGAGATTGGTCCAGACAAGGAAATGTTCTACACCAACCAGTTCACTCAAGAGCAAGTAAGGCACCACTGGTGGATGGATCTAGACAGCCTCTGCATCCCTCCCTCCCTCCCCCAATTCTCCTCACTAGGGTCTGCCCTTAAAGACTAATCGCAGACCGCATACCAGTTCAGCACAGTCTCATGCCCCAGCCCCTGGTGCCATCCTGGATCCTGAGCTAGGGGCCCTGATCATCCCTGTATCCACAGTGGGTGAGGTCGGAGGACCAGCATGGGAAGCCATATTTCTACAAGCCAGAGGACTCCTCTGTTGGGTGGGGGTTGCCCCAGGTAACCAACTGGGGAAGGGAGAGAGCTGGGGAGAGGAGAGGGGGATGATAGATGACATTGTCTTTCTCCCCAGGTCCCGATCCCTGCTCCTCGAAGCATTCGGAAATCCAGCCAGGACAGTGACACTCCAGCCCAGGCTAGCCCTCCAGAGGAGAGGGTAGGAAAGGGGCATGGAGGTCCTGGGGGCAGGAACAGATGAAACATATTCCTGTCTTCCCATCAAGTCCCATAGTAGAGAACATGGAAACTCAGGAGCAATCGCCCTATATTTGTTCCTGCGGCAACATCATCCCCATCCTGAGCACCAGCAATGAGGTGGCTGGGCGGGTAACAAGGCTCAGTGAGCCCCAGGCCCAACCAAAGGGGAGCTGCCAGCTGAGGGGAAGCTAGCCTCTGATTCTTGTAGCTCACCCCCTCATTACTGTCCCTTCCCAACCCCCTTCTCTTTTAGATCAAGACCCTGGACAAGGCAGGAGTGCTCCATCGCACCAAGACAGTGGACAAGGGGAAGAGGCTTTGGTGAGGACTATCCACCCTCAGACCAGGACAGGGTGGGCCTTGATAGCCAAGTTCACCAAGTACCAGGCCTTGTCTGATAGAGGGGGGATTCCTGCCCACCAAAGCCAGTGCCCCAGGCTGTGTGCTTAAACTCTGTGTCCTACATTTGTGAGGGGGTGTCCTCCACCCTAGGAACAAATCTAAGCCCCACCCACTCCTACTTCCCCTCCTCACTCAGGAAGAAGCACTGGAGTGCCTCCTGGACTGTGCTGGAGTGGGGGGTGTCCTGACCTTCTTCAAGGACTCAAAGACCTCAGCTGCAGGCGGCCTGGTGAGACCTGTCCCTGAGTAGGGGACACCTGCTTTTTATTAGGTCTGATTTGGGAAAGGCCAATCTGAGAGAGGGGTGGGTACCCAAGTGCTAAGGAGCTGGGCACTGGTAAGGAGGGGCAATGATGACAGATTCTCTCCTATATAAATTCCTTCAGCCATTTTGGGGCTGGAAAGCAGTCCTTGGGGGTAGACAGCTCCAACCAGGAGGGGAGGGAGGTTGGGACATGGCATGTCTGCTCACAGGATGGGGCTAGGCTCCTTCCTTCCCTTCTGGAGTAGGCAGGCAGCAGTAGACCAGCTGACCAGCAAGCTGCAGGACCAAGAAGTACTAGGATCTCCTCTTCCCCAGGGACCTCAACCTATCCTTAGAGCCATAGGAGCCTGGTGTGTCAGAGTTCTTGCTACATAGGCTCTTTATGACAGAATAAGTCTGGTTCTCAAATAATGGCCTTATTAACACCGTCAGGTTACACCTGACAAGACACTCCCAATTTCTAAAGTGCTTTTTAATATGTTTTCAATGTCCTTAAAAGAGTCCGAAGTCAGATAAGGCTTCCCCAAAGCAATTTTGTAGTCGGGGTCGTCAGACCACAATCAAAAAGATAAATTAATTCCTAGAACTCACTTAATATCAAGTTCAAAGTAATATAGTCCAGACCAGAAAATACCAAGCGCCAGGAAAGACTCTTCTGTTTCCTCCTCCCCTCAACAGGGAAGAAAAGAACCTGATGAACCTTAAATAGGTAATAATTTCCCTTGAGAAAACTGCCAAGCTGATGGTGTTAACCAGCTGGCCATTACTTTAATGAGGGTGGCAAGGAAGGCAGTTATACAGCTTACACTTCAACTGATTCATGCCCCAGTAAAAGGATAGTCTTTCCAGCATTCTAAAATAGGCTCCCTGTCCTCTGCTGCTCACCCACCTTCCACCAGTGTGCTAACTGCCATCAGGGCATCTTGCACTCCTCCAGACCCAGCTGTGCTTTGGAACATCCGTAACAGGGAGGTCATGACCACATCAGAGATCTGCAAAGCATCTTGATGTTGCACTTTCCGAAGAACATTCTATGTAATGAACAAGAATCTGTTAATTCCAAACCCTCCCATCTGAACACCAGGCCTTTACTTTGGGAGGGGAGGGAGGGGGAAATCAATTAAGTCCTTTTTGTTCTTTTTTCTTTTCTCTCTTTTTTTTTGAGACAGGGTCTCCCTGTAGCCCCAGCTGGCCTGGAACTCACTATGTAGACCAGGCTGGTCTTGAACTCACAGAAATCTGCCTGCCTCTGCTTCGGAGGGCTGGGAGCAAAATTATGCGCCACCATGCCCAACCTGATTCTTTTTTTTTTTTTTTGGTCTTTTTGAGACAGGGTCTCCCAGTAGTCCCAGCTAACCTGAACTCACTATGTAGACCAGGCTGGCCTTGAACTCACAACGATCTGCCTGCCTCTGCCTCCCAAGTGCGTGCACCACCATGCCTGGCCTGATTCTTTTTTTCATTAACATTTGCAAAGATCAAACATATTTATCCCTGAAGAACTTGGACACAGCCAATCATCTGCAAACAAACATTCATTTTAACAATCTCTTCTGTTTCTCCATCTACCCAAACCACAGAATAATCCTCCATGATGCAAAACAAACAAACAAACACTCCTTTGGCTTTCACCCATGCCCACCTGACAAGCCCATCAGCCTGCTCTATACTCTAGTCCTACTTGAGTGACAAGCATTTCAGCTTGCAAGGAATTGTTTTAGGAATTCTCACACAAAAAGTACCTCTACCTACAGTCTAAACTTGAGGTTAAGATTAAAAAAGGACCAGGCGTGGTGGCAAACTTCTTTAGTCCCAGCAGAGGCAGGCAGATCTCTGTGAGACTACAGGGAGACCCCATCTCAAAAAGATCCTCCCCCCAAAAAACCCAAAACCCCAAACCTTAAGAAAATTAAAAGTGAGTTCATAGGTAAGATGATCTAGTTAAGTATCGTTGAATACTACAATCCAATAGCCACATAAGCTTCAGGTAAGTTCCAGATTTTTCCTTTTGTTCCCCAATACAAAAAGCATTAATAGCTCCTTGCCATTTCCGAAGCAGATAATGACATTTTATTATAATTTTCCTAGTCCCTCCTTGAAAAAGACTGTTCTGAATAAAAAGCACAATAAAATGTGAGAAGTATATTTCAAAAGATGATGGTACGAGTTCAAGCCATTTGGGAGGGCATGCAGGGACTGAACCCAAGGGCCTTGTACATACTAGGCAAGCACTTGTCTACTGAGTGATATAACTCTGGCCCTCAAAGCTATATGTTTTATTAAAAACTAATTTGTACTTTATGTGTCGGAGTGTTTTTCCTCCATGTCTGTACATGTATGTGTGTGTATATGTATGCAATGCCCATGGAGACCAGAAGAGGGTATCAGTTACCCTGGAACTGGAGTTAAGGACAGTTGTGAGCCACCATGGAGGTGCTGGAAACTCAGGTCCTCTAGAAGAGCAAACACCCTTCACTGCTGAGCCATTTCTCCCCTAGCCTCTCAGGGTTATACTTTTCATTAAGTGAACCACAATTGGGAACCTAATTTGACTGAGTTAGGCTTGAACCACTTTACAAAAACCAATAGCAAAAGCTGCTGACACAAGGAGAGTACAACTCAAAGGACCCATTATACTGAAGCCCTTCCATCCCTACAGAAAACAAGTTAGATCTTGCTAGAAAGACATGAAAAATGAGAAATTTTTCCAACGAGTGACAGATCAAAGCCTTCTGAGAACAGTTTCTGGTCAGAATCACCACACTATTTCAGAGCTGTGTACACATGAACCTGTCATACTAATAGAATAGATCTCTTCCTTGGAGCTACCAAGAAGTAAAGAGGCACTCCTTTAATCCCAGCACTCAGGAGGCAGAGGCAGGCGGATCTCTGAGTTGAGTTCGAGGCCAACCTGGTCTACATAGTGAATTCCAGGCCAGCTGGGGCTACAGGGAGAGCCTGTCTCAAAAAAACAGAAAAATTAAGAAGGCACCATCATACCTGAAGAGTTGCACAAAGTAAGGACTGAAGGTCACGGAACTGGATCCTATCCGACGTGCTCTGGATATGTGGCTACAAGGAAAAGAAATCATGTCTTAATGAAATCCTTCCATTCTTTACACTTTATTAACTTATTTCTATGTGTGGGTGTGTCCAGTACATAAGCACAGTGCCCATAGAGCTCAGAAGAGAGTATCAGATGTGCTAGAGCTGGAGTGACAGGTAGTTTATGAGGCACTCGATGTACTAGACCCAAACTCTGTTCCTCCGAAAAAGCAGTACTTGTTCTTAATCAATGAGCCACCTCTTCAGCCCCCAATTTCCACTTTTGTTCAATTACCAGTAATATTAGGTAATCCTTACTAACATGAATGCAGTGAATAGCATAAGACCAGAAAACAGAGACAAACAGTGCAAATGTTACGTTGCAATGGTTTTTGTGTGGCACCTGACTCGAGAGCCTTGTCTAAAGTTGCAATGTTCATGTATAAGTCAAAAGGGCTGTCCTTCCCCAAGCCAGGATATTCCCAAGTCTCACCTCCATCTGAAGCACCTGCTGCAGTCGTTCCATAATGACCAGATTGGCTGGGTTCCCCGATTGCTGGGAGGTTGGCGTTGAACGGCCGGACGCATTCGCCCTCCGGTTTCAAGGCCCGGGTTAGCTAGGCGGGCAGCTGATTGGTCGGGGGACGGGACTTTCGGGTAGAGCAGGTAAGATCGGGCCTCTGATTGGACTGGCCTCGGTAAAGGCCTCTGCGTTCAAACCGGCTGTGTGCAGCGGGGAGGGTGGGCGGAATGTATGGCTCGCAGGGCGCGGGATTGGTTGGGACCCTGGACGTTGATAGGACCGGGCGCCCGGAGAACTGGAGAGAGGAGTCGGGGTCGCGGCGCGCTAAGGGGTCTGCCCAGGCGCTTCTTGTGTCTGGCGCGGGGCACGAGGGGACACCTCCGGGAAGGGGAGGAACTGCGTGCGAGCCGCTCGCGGTGGTTCCCGAAAGCGCGGTCACTCGCTGCGACTTAAGAGTGAGGGTTTCGCGGGCCGGAGAGGGGATGGCGAGGTGGGACCGTGAAGAGTCCGGCGCCGCGCCCACAGGAAGCTGCAGGATGGCGAGGTCTGCTAGGTGCCGGGCTCCTGGCTGAGGAGGACCACGTGGTTCACTTCCAGTGTTCGGATTTAGAAACTGGAGCCCAGGCAGGGGATGGTGCTTGTCCAAGGTCACTGAGCCGAATAAAGAATCGGTCAGGACTGGGTGCAGACGCACCTTATTGCTCTTGGCCCTGGCAGAATCCCTGTTAGGCCTTTCTGTAGCTTTGAGACCTGTGCTGTTAAAGTTTCACATAGGCGCCACCTTAGAACCCTCCACTTCAAAGCCACCAGAAATGGTTGTTGCTCCTAAAAAAGGCACAAACTTGAACCAAAAAGATGTGTACAAAGAGTTTTTAAAAACGTGGTTCTTGGACTTAGCAAAGTGCATATAAAGAACATGTGCATGGGCTGGGCGCGGTGACTCACACTTGGAATCACAGCACTCCAAAGGCTGAGGCAGAAGAATTGCTGCAAGTTGGAGGCAGCCTGGTCCACAGTATGCGTCCCTATTTCAAGAACCAAAAAACTGGTTCATACAATTTCTTGACAGCCTCCACTTCCACATTGAATACCTCATCAGGGGTTTCCAGAATTGTTATATTTTCAACAGATTGATCGGAGCGATCCAGGATTACTGGGATGTGGAACCCCTTACGACATAAGTAGAGGTAATTGCCTTACACTTGCCACATTGGGGAAGCCTGGGAGGATTTAGTGTGTTCTCTAAGAGGACACACTCAAAGTGAGCTAGAGCGAGGCCAGCTACCTGATTTTTTAAAAATTTTGTTCCTTGACAATTTCATGTATGTTTTAAAATACAGTCCGATTACTCACCCCACTCCCGTTCTGATTTTTTTTTTTAATTATTTTTTGAGGACTGGAGAGATGGCTCAGGGGTTAAGAACACTGGCTGTTCTTGCAGAACACCCAGGTTCGAATCCCAGCATGCACATGGCAGCTAACAACTGTCTGTAACTCCAGTTCCAGGGGATAGGACAGCCTCTTCTGTCCTCCTCCAGCATTGCACGACATGAGTGCACTTAACCTACATGCAGGCATAACACTCACAGATAAATAATTTTTTGATTAACATAAAAGGAAGTTGTGTTACTTTCATTCACCTTTACCATAAGACTTTTTTTGGTGGGCTTTTGTTGTTTTACGTTTTGAGACAGGATCTCTGTAGCTGCTCCAGAATTCACTGTGTAGCTTAGGCTGGCTTCAAAATGCGCATTTCTGCCTCCGCCTCTTAAGCCTTGGGATTACAGGCACTAGCCCCACATCCGGCTCTACTTTGATTTTACTTGCACTGCCGTGACTGCCTTCTGCACGCACATTCCATGGTGGTCAACCTTTTTCCCCCATAGCTTTGATTAAGACAAAAGATGCTTTCTCTCCCCCACCCCGCACCCCCCACCCC